CTAAGAATACAGAATCACTCAGTATTTGAAGAATGTGCATTTAGAGTACCATAGTCAGTAAGAATTGATGCTTCTGGAAAGCCTCAAAATGTCAATAAAAATTGAAATTAGTACTGACCCATCATGTTGTAGTTGACTCATGTTATCTGAGAAAACACAGATAGGTCAGTGTCATTAAGCATCTCCCCATATCTGACCCAAGCCTAGTTTCATCTTTCATTTTATTTGTGAAAAACTACTGAAATGAAAGAGTTTCTAGCATACATATATTTCTTCTGTGTGTTACACAAGGGATGTTTTTATACCTGAAGTTATTATGAAATATATACATAACTCATACCCAGAATAGTTGGAAAGTAATTCAATCTGTCCAACCTAAAGCAATTGCCATTTCTATTATGCTTTTCAAATAGGCTCATACTTCCAACTCTGCTCCTTTAATGTATGCTGTTGGTCATTTGATTTTTCAGATGAAATCCCCACAGTTGTGGGGATCTTCAGTGCATTTGGCCTGGTCTTCACAGTCTCTCTCTTTGCATGGATTTGCTGTCAGAGAAAATCATCTAAGTCTAACAAGACTCCTCCTTACAAGTTTGTGCATGTGCTTAAGGGAGTTGATATTTACCCTGAAAACCTAAATAGCAAAAAGAAGTTTGGAGCAGATGACAAAAATGAAGTAAAGAATAAACCAGCTGTGCCAAAGAATTCACTGCATCTAGATCTTGAGAAGAGAGATCTCAATGGCAATTTTCCCAAAACCAACCTCAAAGCTGGCAGCCCTTCTGATCTGGAGAATGTGACCCCAAAGCTCTTTTTAGAAGGCGAAAAAGAAGCAATTTCCCCTGATAGCATAAATTCCAGCACTTCCCTTACTTCAGAAGAGAAACAAGAGAAGCTGGGAACCCTCTTCTTTTCCTTAGAGTACAACTTCGAGAAAAAAGCATTTGTGGTAAATATCAAGGAAGCCTGTGGCTTGCCAGCCATGGATGAGCAGTCGATGACCTCCGACCCATACATCAAAATGACAATCCTCCCGGAGAAGAAGCATAAAGTGAAAACCAGAGTGCTGAGAAAGACCCTGGATCCAGCTTTTGATGAGACCTTTACATTTTATGGGATCCCCTACACCCAGATCCAAGAATTGGCCTTGCACTTCACAATCTTGAGTTTTGACAGGTTTTCAAGAGATGATATCATTGGGGAAGTCCTTATTCCTCTCTCAGGAATTGAATTATCTGATGGAAAAATGTTAATGAACAGAGAGATCATCAAGAGAAATGTTAGGGTAATTCATTTTGAGTGCTTAAAGTATTTATAAACAATCTTTTATGCAGCTTTTTTATATCTAGGGGATTTTCATTAAAAGGATAAGCTTGTAGATATCATCCTCACCATGTTTAATTATTATTAATTATAATCAAATGGAGAGCAAGGGAATAGAGCAGATGACAGAAAATTTAACCCACAACTGATACTGAAAATATTTTTATGATATAAAATAGGCATTCTTTGTAGGTAGA